AAATAAAGTCCATCTGATTTAATGAATTAGTACTGTAAATTTGCCGTTTGCATTACATGGGCAATTTGAGTAGATTTGACTTGTGCATAGGAAGGAGTCAGCAGGGAACCTTTTCAGTATATGCACTTTGATTTGTCAACCTGTCTTTGGAGCTCCATCTTAAATTTCTCTTCTGAACATTGTCTTCTGACTAGTAACTTGTGCATTTCACTCCTGCTTTCAACTCTCCCTGCCCCAAACATCCCGACCCATTCAGAAAGTAGTTACAGAAAAGATAAATGACGAGGTCCCTCTTTAAAAATTTTAAAAGTTGCCAAGTTGGTTTTAGCCTTGTGTTCAAATAATAGATTATGATCATGTAAGTTAATCATGTAATTGCAACAGGAATAAATTTTAAGTGCAAGACTAAATCTCATTGCTTAATTTGAGAATGTGCAAGTCTGGGTTTTGTCCTGTTGACAGCATAAATTTCAAACTTTATTGTGAATTTTGACATTTGTCTATGGTTAACCATCAGAAATGTATCAATCTAAAGAGTGTCTTGATTTATCTGTTCAAATTTCCCAGATTCTGAGACTAAAAGATTAGCTTTTACATCAATAAAAATATATGTAGAAGAGAAACATTGTGATAGAATACATCAATGCTTTGATCAATGGGACAACAGTCCCATTTAATGCAATATCCAAGAGTAAGTAAATGCCACATTGCAGCTTTTATGCAATGTTGAATTTCTGACCAAGTTCCAGTTGTTTGACAGGATTTTCTCTCTATTCTCTTTTCAATGTAAGAGCAAAATGTCAATTTTAACTTCATCTATTATCAAATGGCATTTTGGGATTTAGACAGCTTTGGATTCATTTAGAACTTGTCCAGCCCCAAAATGTAAAACATTAGATCCACTTGCACAAACTCAGTAAGTGGCAGTCTCCTGGGAGCTTTGGTTAAACTCTCCAGTAAATTGATTGTGATAATGAAGCAGTCTGATTCTTTTTTTATTAGCATGTAGTTAAAGACAGACAGTTTATCAGATTGCAATCATCTGAGGAAGCTCTAAAGGCATTTTTACACTGACGGTCTGTCATTGGCAGCAGACACATGATACAGTCACAAACCGGAGGAAATTCCCCTTTTCCATACCTTCAAGCTGTATTCCAGATTCCAAAGTTTTTAGCTTCAGTGCTAAGAGCTTTCAGATTTGCACTGATGTTTTAACCGTGTTTAGTGTAAACGGGATCTTAAGGGCTGAAATGATTCTGAAGCAAAACCAGGCTCCGTCATGGGCTTGAAATTGGACTACAATTACATTTGAAATTTGGAACATCAGTGCAGTTTGTGTGAATGCGAATATGCACATGAGAACAGTACACCTCAGTTTTTTCAGTTAATACCATAATTTGGATTCTAGGAGTGGTGATTAGAGTTAAGGGAGAAGTGGAATCTGTCTCTGGTCTTCCAGTGATTCAGAAAGCTTTAAGAAAGGGGACAGTGATATCCAAACATTATTGGCTTCCATTTGAAGGATGGATTCCTGGAAACTAAAAGTATAAATGCCTTTCTAGTCAGATCTGATTTGAATTGACATTTTTTTTTTGTCCGACCCGGATTAAAATGTTGGTACGACTTGGTGCATTTTGTGAGTCTCAAGTCACAATATTAGTATCATTGAGCAGTAATAAAATTTATACACTCTCTGGTTTTAGCGGTCATTGTTCAAAATAGTCATTCAGAAAGCTCTTATTCTCTTTAAAATTGATAGTTCTAATATATTTGCTCATGTTACAGCTGGATTCTACCAGTGGCCCCCTCCCCCCACCCCCCCATCTCATAACATTCACTGTAGTCATAAATCATCTTGAAGGTAAGGAATTAACAAGCATTTCCTGTGCAATACTCAGACAATGCTTTGCTTTCCACAACATCTTTTCTTTCAGAAAGGGAAGTGCCACTCTAATGCCCTGATGCTTAAGCTCAAATGAAGAATTTGTGTGGTTGAGATGAGACTAAATATTGGATGAACCCAATAAAATGCAGTTTGCTGCAGCCTAATTCCTGAATTGAACCTGGTGCTTTCAAATAATTAATCAACTGAACCACAAAATTATCTTATGTTTTCAAACCTATGCTATAACCTATGGATCTGGAAACTCAATAAATCATTGGTTCGGCTGCAGGTGCTTTTTGGAGCAATGTCAAGGCCTTAGAGATGTCAGAGATGAAAATGATTTTTATTTGTACCAAGATGCAGGGCTTCAGTTACACTGAGAAGCCACTTTGTGAAGCTGAGGCTACTCTTAGAACAGAAGCGGTTTTGGAGGGACTTAACAGAATTGAAAAGCCTTGTGTTTTAAGAGTAAACAAGTGTAAACTGTTCTCAATAGATTGATATGCATAAAGATTCAGCATGACGAGAAATATGAATGGTGTAAGAGATTCAGCAGGAAGCTTCAAAAGGTAATTTAAATCCTGAAAGGGAAATATTTGGAGATTACAATGAAAGGACAGGGGAACATAGGAATTAGGAGCAGGAGTAAGCAATTAGCTCCCTCTGCCATTTAACATGATAATGGCTGGTCTTCTCCTGGTCTCAACCTTTACACTCCTGCCTGCTCCCCATAGCCCTTATCCCAATTTTCGTCAGAAACTTCTGTTTCTTTCTTGAATCTGTTGATTTTTTTTAAAGTTTGCCTCCACTGCACTGTGGGCCAGTGAATGGCACAGATTCAAGACCCTTTTGAGAGAAGCAGTTTCATCTCAGATTTGAACCAACCTCCTCTCCACGCTCTATTTATGATATCTTGTTCTCCCCTGTGGGACAGTCTTGAACTTCTGAACAACATCCACCCCTTATCAGTCCCCTCTTATTTAGCATTTTATAAACTTCAGTCTGATTCCACCCCACCACCTCCATTCTTCTGAACTCCAGCAAGTACAAGCCCAAGTTGTTCACCTACTCCTCGTATGATAGCCCTTCCTCCCTGGAATCAACCTGGTGAACCTCCTCGGAACCGCCTCTAGTGCCACCACATCCTTCCTTAAGGAGACCAAAACCTGGTCACAATATTCCAGGTGTGGTCTCACTGACACCTTTTTTATGTAATTGAAACAACACTAAACTTTATAATCTAGTCCTTTGCCGATAAATGCCAGGATTCCATTTCCCTTTCTTAAATGCACTTGCATACCCACTTTCTATGTTTCATACCACCGAGGTGGCCAGATCCCTCTGCACTGACACACTTTTTGAATCTGCTTTCCCATCTTTAATAAGTTGCACTTTTGTACCGTTCCAGCCAAATTGGACATCTTCTTCACACTTATCCACATTAAACTCCATCTGCCAAATTCTGGCTCATTCTCCGGGCCCATCAATATCCATATGTAAATTCTTTTTATCTCCTCATCACCGCATGTCTTGCCACCTATTTTAGTATTGTCTGTGAACTTTGCTATGTTTATAATCCATCCCTGCTTGCACATCATTTGCACAAGTTTGTAAATAGTTGAGTCTGAGAACTGAACCCTGCAGCACCCCAATAGTTTCAGTTTGCCATCCACAGAAGGACCCATTTATCCTCACCCTCTGCTTTCCGTTAGGCAATTCTCTGTCAAAGCCAATACTCTACACTTAATCCCTGGGATCCAGCCTTCTGGATCAGTCTTTCATGTTGCACCTTGTCATATGCCTTCTGGAAATCTAGATATACCAATGCACTGGATCTTTATTATCCATCTTGCTGGTTATATCCTCAAGTCCAAGTTTATCAAGCATGGTTTGCCCTTGGTGAAACTGTGCTGACACTGGTGAACTGAGCTTTACTTTCCAAGTGTTCAATTATTACCTTTCTTTTTCATGAGTTGACTCCAGCAACTTCCCAATGATACTGGCTGATCTAACTGGTCTGTTGTCTCCAACATTTACCCTTATTCAAACATAAAGATATGCTAACGTGACAGCTTGTCACTAATCCACTGGTACGTTTTCAGAATCCACGAAATTTTTGAAAATTGTACGTAATGCATCCACTATCTCTGCCATCTCCTTTTTTTAATACGTTAAGGTGCAAGCCAAACAGGGCACAGGGCCTTGTCTGCCTTTTAATGCCATCAGTTTACTTAATATCTTTGTTCTCTAGGCTAGTCATTTCATCGAGTTCCTCTGTAGTAACTGCAGTTTTTAAATTATCTTCCACTGTGAAAGCAGAGACAGACCATTTGGTTTAGTGCCTCTGCCATTTGAGTTTCACATTATTACTTCACCATTTGTCTTCTAAAGGGCCAAAATTTACTTTGACTATTCTATACCTAAATGAGCCAAGTTGGGTAACTCTACCCAAGAGCCTGCATATTGATTTGTGTTCTTCCTACAGAGATCCTCAAAATTGGCCAAATGAATGCTGCAGGGCTTCCAAATGCCATCTCCTGACTCAAATCAGGGCTCGGAACAACCCTTGCGCTCCTAAGTCAGCTGCTCAAACTTTACTCTCAAAAACACAATTTGCTAGGAGCCACATGTAAATTCTCTGAGCCAACATGCCACCAGATGCTTAAAAAGGTTGTTTGAATTGCAGATCATTGTTGCCTACACTCTTCTGTTCCTGCCAGCAACCACTTAAATTTACATAGTTTTTCTCCGCTCGCTCAGTCCAAGCACCTGACCTTAGCACGGGTGGCTCGCTTCCACCTGAGATAAGTGCATTTTCTTTCTCTGTGTAGATGATCTGTTGTACACACTGGTCTTGTTCCAGTGGCAAAGATGAATTGCATATATGGGTTTGATTGGTGATTAAAACCCACCACCTGGACATTAGCAAGAAAAAAAGCATGTCACCTCTGAAAAATTCAATGCTAAAATGTAATCGAGCGACTATTGATCGCAGACTGTCTTTAAAGTAACAGTTCTCTTGAGGCTAGTTAAGCTGTTCAATGTCAACAGGAAGATAGTTGGTGATGAGTGCAGGAAAAGATTTCACAATGTTTACTCTGCAGTCTGTGTTTCTTCAAATATAAGCAATAATTTATTTTTCATCTTCACAATAATCACATTTACCTGACTACAGCATCGATTCCGCTAGAGTACGAGTCACTCATCCACCTACACTTTACTTGGACATTACACTTTTAATTTACAGTCTCATTGTACAAATACATGGCTGAACAAATGTGAAAGTTAAAAGCTTGGATGTTAAGTTTATGCTCCACTTGGCAGCAGAGAAAGTAAAGTTATGTAAATGCTAGCATTGCAATGCATGTGGACAAGTATGCAAAGCTATTGGAATTTGGCATTAAAATGTATAGTTTTAATAACATAAACATACATTACAAAAAGAAACCTGGGTAATGATTAATGGACTTGTAATAAAGTCAGACTTAACTCACATGGGCATAATATCACATGAAATATGGCTCTGTTTTACAAATAACAGGACTGAAGATCATGGGGAAGATGACAAGAAGTTGTAACCTACAGACAAAAGGTACCACCAATTGTAATACATGTTGTAAAAGTGATAAGTAACTGCTTGTAAAAACCGTAATCAGATTAGAAGCAGTTCTGGGGGTAAGAAATTGACATGCCACATTTAACGAGGCAATTGTATTCTACCACAAATCGGTAGCGTTCTTTTTATATTTTGTTTTTTTTTTAAAAATAAAAGTCCCTTTCACACAGTAGTAACCGACAGGAAGGAATTGTAGATTCTCGTGCCATCTGGGGACTTGGCACCGTGTGTCATGAGTTCTTGGATTGTCATCCAGTTGTCAAAGATCTTCTTGTTGCGCTTCCTCATCATTTTTCTGTGGCTCAGTTCGATAATGTTGACCTCCTTTTTGCCCTCGCTGCCGCTCTGGGGGTTCTCCCTGAGGCACTCCAGGCGGCTGCGCATCATGAACTCCCGGCGCCGCCGCTGCTCCTTGGCCCGCACCACGTGCTGCTTGCGCTCCTCCTTACTCCAGTAGCGGCCTGTCTTCATCTCGCTCACGGCGTCGTCGTCGGTGGTCATGCCGCAGCGCTCCTCCTTGATCTTCAGGGCGCGCTCCTTGAGCAGGCGGTCGCGCACCGGGCGCTTGGTGATGTAGCGGGTGCCGTCGCTGCGGACCTTGACCTTCCACTCGGCCTTGGAGTCGCCGGCGCCGGCCTTGTGGTGAGCGTCCTTGCACATGCTCACCAGGCTCAGCTGGCTATTGGCGTACTCCACTGCCGACTTCTGCTGGATGAGCTGCATGTAGCTCTGGTAGTGGCGCGCGTGCGCGGGGATGTTGACATGGCGGTAGGGCGAGCTGTGATAGGCCGACAGGTAGGGCACGCGCTCACCCCCCTCGCCGGATTTGCTCCCCTCCGTCACGTGCTCGGTGTCGTCACCGGGCACGGCCGTTTCCGGCGTCTCCGAGGAGCTGCTGGCGGCGGGGCTGGCGGCGTCGGCACTGATCCGCCTGGGGGACGAAGGCGAGGGCAGAGCGGCCGCGGCCTCGATGGAGCTCCTCAGGTTCCGCTTGTTGGTGATGCTGACGATGCGCTGCAGCGAGCCGTCGGGCGAGCGGTCCACGGTCAGCGGGGTGCTGCGGCAGCTCTCCGCCGTGTTGTAGGCGCTCGAGCTGTCCTTGTCCGACTTCTCCGGGTGCTCCATGATGTCGGCCAGCTTCTTGCCCCGCGGCGTGTCGATGCTGGTGTTGTAGTTCCCGAATCCGCTGCCGTGGATTGACCACACGTCGCCGTACTCCTCCCTCACCGTCTGCAGCTGGTGGGCCTGCATGATGTTCTGGCACTCCAGCTCGATGTTCCTCAGCTCCTCATTGAGCATCTCCAGCTCTCGGTCCACCACCTCCTGCTGCCTCCGGCCGCACTGTATCGTGCTGGTGGAATAGTACAGGTCAAACTGGCTGCGGTTGCTCATCTTGCACTTGAGCTCCAGGAGCTCCTTGAACCGCTCGCATTCTTCGTCCTGGGTGCCCACAAAATCCGAGTCGTTGTACTCCCCCGAGACGAAGCTCTCGTTGCACTGAAGCTCGCTGCTGCCCAGGGTGTCCTGGCTGTAGCCCAGGTCCCCCTGGCTTTGCAGCAAGGCGCTGTTCTGCTCCTCGCCGAGGATCTCTTGCTCTGAACTCTCGTCGTTCCTCACGCTGTCGTCTGTGCGGCCGAGCCCACTGTCCTTCTCGTGGTTGTTCGAAGAAGTAGTCGCGGTATCGGTCGTCCCACCGTCTTCTTCGTGTTTTTTCTGTGTTTTGATGGAAAACAAGTTAGTTCAGACGCAGAATATCCACTTGCCTGGACCAGCAAAACATGTTTAAGTGTAGAAAATCATTTCCGCCACCCTCAACCCAAACAAATCATCACTTGATGTGATCAATGGTGTAAAATGATGAAATAATACCTTTCAAAAAAGGTCCCTAAATGAATTAACATGTAGAATGGATAAAGGGACGCCAGTAACGTTTAAAGGAAAAATTGGGTTTCTAAAAGACGTTTGCAAAGAGAATGTAATGTGCAAAAATGAAGTTATGCACCTTGACATAAAAATAGAAGATTGGGATATTATTTTACGTGGGGAAAGACTGCAACACATTGTGATTAACACGTACAGACTCCTAAATCTCTAGGTCCAGTGGGCAAAATGGAAGGCAAATTGAATGCAGTATGGAAACAGATTCAGTCCTGCTATGGCTAAACAAGGCAGTAATTGGAGTGCATCTAGAATGCTGTCAACATTGTAAGGGCCCTTGTCTAAGGAAAGATAGGTTCACAAGGGTGATCACAAGTGTGGAGTGACTTTCTTTGAATAAGTTAGGTTTAACTTGGTGGAATTCAGAAGAATGAGATGCCGTGCACAAGAGGTTACGCCACAAGAACACATGGGGTTAGAGGTAATTTACTAGCTTAGGTATCCAACAGGAAAGTGGAGTGGAATGAGTCTTTTTTTTTTCCTGAGAAGATGCAACTAGGTGGGTGCCAGAGGGTTGATGCACAGACAGTGGTCCCTTGTGGGACAGTCTAGGAGCAGAGGGCATAATCTGAATTAAAGGTCAATCCCCATTTTAAAAGAGGAATCCTTTCCCTCAGAGGGTGCAGAATTCTTTACTGCAGTGGGCTGTTAAGGCTGGGTCCTTACTTAGATTGAAAGTTGAGATTATCAAATGTGCCAGTATCTTGTGGAATGGTAACGAAGACTTGTAGGGCAAAATGCTTACTTCTACTCTAACATCTTATGGTCCAAGAGAGAACCAATTGTTCAAGTGCTTGGCTAAATATACTAATTTAAGTATTTCGCTCACATACCATATTTCCTTGATGCAGCAGTATTTGCATCAATAGTGTTTAATCACAGTTAGAAGAACCCTCATGCCATTCACAGTTAATGCTGGATCTGCCCATTCCTCTATCTGACTGTAAGATCCTTTCAATGATCATATGTCTGTCTCCTGATAACTGACCCTTCTGCAAGTGGAAACATTGCAATGGAAACATTGCAATGTCATAGCCATTCTCAGGCGACGAGTTTAATCTATGTGGCTTTATCTACTAACTGCGAAAGCAATCTTTGGATGAATTTTAACAATGAGAATCGGAGTAGACTTGAAGAGGGTAAAGGTAGACAGGTGAGATGCAAATATTTGGCAGCTGGAATTTTCCAATGGAAGGATGAAGGATGCAGAATAAATGGAAAAATGAGTAAACCTTTACTGTTTCCTTTAAAAATTTAAGGGTGCAGGAGAGAAATCTTGTGGTGTTTGTGCATAAGTGTTCACTAGCAAGTGGAAGAATAGGTATGACTAATGTAACTGCAGGATAATCGATGTGTGCCTATACTAATTCATAACATTATCAATGCAAGCAATGTAATTTGTTATTCCAGGCCCAGTGTGAAATGATATTAATGTAGATGCAGCAGAGATCTAGTGTGAAGGTACTTGTGGTGAGGGGCTTCGGTTAAGTGAAGACGGCAGAGAAGCTGGCAGCAGAAACAAATTGCCGGAAAGGCTGAGCAGGTTTGGCAGCATGTTCGGAGAGAAAGCTGAGTAAAATGTTTTGGGTGCGTCGACTCTTCATTAGAACACAAAATTGGGATGGCTTTCCTTTTGAAGCAGAGCAGATGAAGGGGAGATTTAGTGAAGGTGAAACAGCTGTGGAAATGTTTTAATTATGGTAACTAAGGAGAGCAGTGACCTGAAATGTAAGGTCATTGGCAAATGTGAATCTTTATTATAATCTGGATGGGTGCTGAAAGCAGGATACAAAGTAACTTTCCAAGGGGAACGGATGAAAAGTTGAAGGATGGAGGATTGGTTAGACGTTTGCAGCACAGGTACAATGAGATCAAAAGCCTCTCTCACACTGGAAGATTCAGTGATGGAGTGCACTTAATGGTATGATTTGATCATCGTGCATCAGACCTTGTGTGTGTGTCAAAGTTGCAACATTTTATTTCAATGATTAATCACTGGACTCAGGATGTTAATGCCCTTCTCGTTCTGTGGTTAATAATCCTTATCCTCTTTAATTAATCCCAATGTGAATTCAGTCAGAACATTGACAGCATTTGGCTACAGGATGGGACTTGGCCCATGGCTTGTATGTTGCAATGGAAGGTACCTGCAAATCTCTCTTTGCTGCCAATGTGATACTTTTTAGCAAGATAGGACAACCTGAGATCAATGCAGAATGCTCATCGATGTCCATGTTTAACTTGCGTGGCAAAATGCATGGGCCACCGTTCAGCAATCTGCTCAGTGTGAATGTAGGTCAAGGCTGCATCTTTCTTTGAAGTAAGATAAATGCCAACCTGAGATTAACCACACTGTTTCAGACTAATTCAGTTCGCTCTATGATAGTGGTAACCGTCCCTGTTGTACTTCATTGTAGAGCACAGCAATTAGAATGCTTGAGGAATAATCAGATAAGTGAACTGGTTGCAGATGATATGGGAACTTCATCAGTGCTCAGTTCCAATCAGGATCACTTCCAGCTGGACAAATCCAGTCAGTGCCAGTTAGAAGTGACACCATTGGAATCTGTGGGAGATCAGAATAATAATGGACATCAGTTTTCTGGCTTTCTGGTTGACTCTCATCGTGGTCAGGTGTAGCACCAATCAGAATAACATGACAACGAGGGATGTATGAACTAAATGTGTTTGTCAGCTGCCATACAGGGGACTATAGTAGCTGATTTTGGTGGTGTGTGATCTGCCTCCAAGTCCATTCCTTGCTTGAACACTCCAATCTGTCAGATGTCAAAATTTAAATCGAAATCCTGCTAATTTTTGTTTGGAATTAAGTGGGGCAGCCTCAAGCTGAATATCAGGAATTGTACCTGTTGAAGTTTACTTCTAACAGATTCACTGTCCCTTTCAGAATTCAAAGGGGGCTAGTGCGACTAATGCAAATATCCATGCTTCAATATGACAACTCGAGTGATGGATTGAAGTATGGATTATTTGTACAGAATGGGGTGACTCTAGTTAGTATGGTGGGGCAGGGAGCGGGGCTTGGGACTAAAGGAGTTGCTTTCCCAGAACCACTTTGGACACTGGGCTGAAAGGGTTCTATCTGCTGGAACCCTTACATGGCTCCACAAATCATGCTTAGAGCATGGAAACAAGATGCGCTCTATCTCTGGAGTGAAGTTGATGAAAACAAACGAGATAACTCCTGACTGAAAAGCATAAACATGGAAGGAGTGCAGGGACTTTCTTCTTTCTAGCAGCCTTGCATCAATCAACTGCTTTTTCCTTAATAAAGGTTCTGCAGGGCACAGTGTTGCTAAAGTGAACGTCACGTTGTGCAAATGTTTGTTGGTGGTATGCATAAATGCTAAGCTGAAATATCAGACACCTTATCTGATGATAAGCTGTGATGAATCTTACCTGCTCAAGAGTGGTAGCTGTGTACTGCATTGCCTGATTATGTTGCTGTTCCAACATATCCATATGAAGCTCATCAAGAAATTCATTGCGGTCATCATCAAGCCATCCTTCATCCAACTGGCAGAAATGGGAGAGAAGACAGGATGTTACAAAAAGAGGGTCGAGGGTCACACTGCAACACCCTGCACAAGGTCTAACACAAACACACAACACTTAGAACAAAAAAATGCAAATCTCACATATTTATGTGCACAGAAGGAACACAAATCAATTCTTTGCTCCAGATCCTACCGCAGCCCAGGAACAACATGAAAACTGCAAATATCACGACCATCCACAACTCTTGCAAAACCACCACATGAACAAGAACAACAGACAACTTACAAAACCCTTCCACACAAACAACACCTCAGAATTTCCTTCTACAATGCTACACACACTAATCATTTGCTTCACACCAATACATCTACCACTAACAACTACAGAACCAGACAAAGCCAGACATGCATACAACACACAACCCACAACAAACACAAGTACCCACCATGAAAACGCGTAACACCACACCTCCACTGGTAAACACAGCATACTCCCTCAAGAACACAGAATAATACAACGCCTACACCTCCTACACATTCATAACCGCCGTGATCTAACTGACACACATCATACTGCGCAAAACATAGCCTTCAACACTCTAGCCCATCCACATTGCACAAATGACTGACTGACAACCTACCAATCAATCAACACACAATCCAGTTTTCTGGAAAAGTCCAATATCATACAATGCCTCAACTGTTCCACCCAGCCTTTCTTGAGATTGACACCATTTCTAAGTACACTGCACTCCACATTTCCAGCACCATTCTCCAAACCAAAAACGTTTTCATCTCATCCTCATCAATATCATGTGTCTGACACTATCATTCCCTCCCCACCAAACAAACACATCAGATAAGACCTAGGGCAGCACGGTAGCACAGTGGTTAGCACTGCTGCCTCACAGTGCCAGGGACCCGAGTTCGATTCCAGCCTCGGGCGACCGTCTGTGTGGAGTTTGCACATTCTCCCTGTGTCTGCGTGGGTTTCCTCTGGGTGCTCCGGTTTCCTCCCACAGTCCAAAGATGCTAAATTGCCCGTAGTGTTCAGGAATGTGTAGATTAGGTGGGTTATAGGGGGATGGGTCTGGGTGGGATACTCTGAGGTTCGGGGTGGACTTGTTGGGCCGAAGGGCCTGTTTCCACACTGTTGGGATTCTATGAGACAAACAGCTGCTGTACCTACCCATCACAACCTGATGCACCTGAATCTTATCCCCATCAACCTTCTCAAGCAAAAAAATAAATCCAAGCCCCTATACTCATCATTTCCAGCGATTCCTTGAAACCACACACCATTTCAATAAATCACCTCATTCCCCTCTCTTGTGCTGTTACACCCTTCTGCTATTAATATGAAGACTCCATAGACTACACAGCCACAAGGCATCAATGAGATGCCAGACATCTCAAACAACAGTTACATCTGAATGTGAAGACTACACAACACCAAAGCACATTTCAAGACAAATCTGTCAAATGGCCACCAAAACTACACAATGATGGAACAGAAACAGGGAGCAAATTAACCCACTTCTATTCCTAGCCAAGGGTAGCTAACTGAACTGAAATGCACAAAACAATTCAACTGCAAATGTCTGATGACTTCTTCACTAACCGCATGCACACACAATCACTCCACAGCGCCACAGAAAAACAAACACATTACCATACAAACAGACTCTAAACCTCCAACAACATACTGTCCAGAAAATACATAATAAGATATGGCCGCAATTATGCACAATGCTGTTGCACAGAGGTGACCACACATCTTACAACGCATATGGTACACTAAACACGCATGTGAAACACCAATTAGATCAACTCCACAATCATATGCACCACACAAAGAAACACTGGTGTTTCTTGGAAACCCACACCTGTCACATCCGTAACCGCTCCTTCAAGGAGACCTTTCAGTCCCACACAATAAAGCACAACTGTCACTCTCACATAATTGAGATGTAAACACTGCTATTCCCTCCACAATGCGTTCAAATAACTTTCCCATAAACATGCAAGATTTCTGTCACTTAATTCTGCAAGATCATCAGGTATGCCTTCGATCTTCTTAACTTTATCTGAAAAACACATAGTGTCGACTAGCCTATCACACAAAATCCCAGCAACAGTACCATGACAGAACACAGTCCATGTAAAGGTCCACATCCTTCAGCAAAAGATTCCGAAATAAACAGGATTCACAACATCCACTTATGGGTGGTTTCCCCCCACTTCTTCCAAACGCTCATTCCCAAAAACACATGAACATCATAAAAGACCTGGTGCTCCATTATGTTCGCCCTCTACTGTGATACAATCCTACTTCGCTATTCCATACACTGCCACAAATGCATTGCAGGATCAAACCTACAGATTCAACTGCTCCTCTGGTGTAATTTAGCTGCCACCAAACTTCCAAAAGCTCCAGATTTGCACAACACCACTTTCTGAAACTTTAGACATTGCATCAGCAACGTGCAGATGTTGCAAATGAAAGGATGCACTTAGTTTGATGTCCTACATTCTGTCTCATCATTGTGAATCCCAGCAGAACCCACCATACCCTAGTACTGTACTTCATTCTACAGTACCAATTCAGACATATAAAGGACTCATCTAGGGCCATGGCATTCTCATATCTAAAAAAGCAAAACATCTGCATATGATACCACAGAAACAAGACATGCACCACTGAACTGTCACAATATCTCTGTGAACTACATATGCCCAATGAGGATGTATTCTGTCACTTTCATTTTGACATGAACAATACCACTTGGTAATCACTGCAAATTTCACCACTTCTTCATGGTGCTCCTATCGTCTTTCAAACTGCTTAAATTTGACAGATCCCAAAGCCTCAACCGCATGGAAGAGGAGTCAACAAGACACTTTGGGCATTGCCCTGATTCCTACTGTCCACACTGGCTATGGACATCAAAAGAAAACGCCCAATCTGACAAAAAGCCTGGGTTCATGCATTAGTACCACTTCAGTCTCTGTGGTACAGTCAGTTTGTGAGCAGGTAATCCAAGCAGACATGTACAAAGGCAGTGCTGAATGTCACACCTCAAAAGTCTACCTCACAGCCGACACTCGGCTGGAACAACGTTATTCTGCCCAGTTAACTGAAGGCTGTTACCGATACCTCGCGGTGTGATAACGACCTGCTGTGTTCACTTAAACGTCAAATGTGAAGGATGCCTTTCGTCAGGAAACTCTTGATGACTGTTCTGACATCCGAAAGACTTTATCCAGATCGAAAACTAATTTGTTCTGGATGCGATACTTGCCTGAATCTCTGGTCTGGCGACCAGCAACAGAATGTTCCTGCTTTCCTCGCTGGACAGTAAAGCCACGGCCTCCTCCCGATCTTGAACGTCCTTCCCATTTATCTGCGAGAAACAAACAAGTGGTCAAGGCAAAAAGGCAGCTGTTGCTTTCACACCGTCGACACTTAACGTTAGGAAATACAAATCACAACTCATCTCGGTTAAGAATTCATGTGGCTTTCTGCACAGAACACTCCACTTTGGGACCAAAGCAACAATCGCCAATCGATTAAGGAACTCACTGCATAACGTTATGGATAGACAAAGGAACTTTGATGTCACAAGAAGCCTTAATGTTCATCAATGCCCAACATGTGTTCCATTGACCAACAGACATCCGCCAACTCCATTCAGTGATATGTGACATGTGGCATCTTCTCTCCCTTTAGAGATAATGGAAGTGTCCCTCACAGAATACAGTACTGCAGTTGGCATCAGATGGGAAGGGAGGAATCCATGAAACGTAATGCTGCATGGTCTCGCAAGTTGCATTCCTACTGGGCCCATGACTGCTTTACGCTCCTTAGACCGAACCAAAATGTCCTTCTTTAGGTTACAACACATAAACATCATTTCCACAAAGAACTCGACTCACTCATGACTGTGGCTTATCATTACCCTGGCAGAAACAATTTCTCAATTAAAATTTGAAAAGCACACACCTTTTCAAAGCAGAACTCACCCAAAGACTGAGGAGCTTACCTCACGAATGCTATTGTCTCCTTACTTTGGAATACTACTAACGACGAAAATGGTGCAATGAAATTTCTTCCATGTACCACATCCACCAGAACAGTTAATGGACCGTCTTCCTATTCCCCCGCGTAACAAAAGAAGACACGTTTCCACATACTCCTTCAGTTTCATTAACGGTAGGTTGAAATACTATCGAATTTAGCCTGAAATCAACAAAGAACCTTGTCCCGCATCCAAAGCGGCCCTCGAATCTCCAATATACCTGACTGCACGTCACACAGTTGGCACTAATTCTTTGTCTTTACGCTCAGCCAATTTCACACGATTAACTGCCCTATATGTGCGACCACCTTAAAACAAATGACCTCCATGTTGTCAGCAAGAAGCAATTGCTTCTCCTAAGTGTACACAAAAGGAGGCTATACTTTCATTTTGGACTTGACACGACAATTAATCTTTTTACTTCTTGACCAGGTCAGATACTGTGCGCATCACTATATAAACCAATAACTTTTGCAAATAGTAAACAAGTAAAACTAATCCTTCGCCAACACTGGAATGGTATATTTTTGGGCATCCTTCATATTTCCACTCACCGAGTAACCAAATGAGCTCACCCACCTCGGATCGAGTACATAAGAGGCAAATCAAAAGCTATGATAACGCTCAAGCTCAGGTGTGACCATGACTACACCGACACGATGGGTTGAGACACTGATTCACCTGCCAAGTGCAATTCTCCAATTCCAGCTAAGTGTCAACAAACAATGTAATCAGCCAAGAAAGTGACAGTCTATTTTCAGCTCAGGCTAAAATCAAACTGTGGTCTGGCTTTCCATTAACATTGAGGACTTTCAAAATCAATCTCAGATTTCAACACCCTATGAGGTCATGTCACTCTCACAAAGATACAAGGCACTAGTTGACAATCCACCAGATCCATAAAAGATCACTCTCTCACACAAATATCATGTTGGATTTCACAGTTCCAGAACAGCTTGTCCAGGATCGTCATTTCAAATATTGCACACTCACTTTGTCTGTGACGATTCTCAAAAACACACAATGACAAATTCCATTTATAAACTTCCTCTCATGTAGTCACACTTACCCAGCTCGTTGGGAGGAAGGCTCTCAGATAAAATATCACACCCAACAACAGGAACAGACATTAGACCAACTGCCGACTTCGTTACAGATGCACACATTAATAAACATCGTTTAAAAGGATGTACATTTACAGAGGGAATTTCACGATTGAACCCTTGATGAACAGATGAAAGATCGGCCATCTGTTGCTCACTGATGTAATGCAAGGATGAACAGAGGCTCCATTTGGACAAATGTAGGGATCTGAGCATTTTGGCTGAACAACGTTTTAAACATGGCAATGGAGTAGTTTGAAATTACTAGCAAACTTTTAGACAAAGCTCTTGGACAATGACAGTCAATTGATGACAACCAAGAGAATGTGGCTGTGGAGCACCAAGAGGTCAATAACATTTGATGGCTGACAAAGGATGTAGACAGCAGACAAATAGCGAAGGAGCTGCAAGGATGCAAAAATGGCAAAAAGATACAACAATTTCTGAGAAACCCATCAAAATAAAACTACCGATCATCTAGATGAAGGATGAACATCGACAAAGCACAAACACAGAAATTACTCTAGAAGTTCAGCAGTTCTGGCATCATCTGTGCAGAGAAAACAGACTTAATGATTCGAGTTCAGTGACCCTTCCTCAGAACTGAGGAACTGTCACTTGATCCAAAACATTAACTCTGAAACCTCTCTACAGATGCTGCCAAATCTGGTCATCTGTTTGATCAAGTTCTGTTTTTCTTTCTGATTTACACCATCCACAGGTCTTTCTGTCTGTGTCAACAAAACATAGCTGACTACATCCACACACACTCCACTGTCAAGCGAACAACTTTCGCTGTTTCTGACATCATCACAGATACTCAATAAATACCAGCCTAGCCAGTGATATCCACAACCCCAGAAATGAATTAAAAAATCTAAGCTTGTAATACCAGCCACAAGATGTTATCTCCTTGAATTTGCCCATATCTCTCCTTGCACCACTGACAATCCCAACGACATTACTATTCGATCCCTCCATACCAGACAGAAATTGCTAGTGCCTTTTTAACAACTTATTCATTCCAACAAATGAGCAGCTTCAATACTCAGACTCCAACGATCTGCGATATTGAGAAGTCATTACACATTTCTTTCATAACATTAGGAGCGCTAGTATGCGACTTGACCTTTAATCCAAACCTGCCATCTAATTACATTATGACATGTCTGCACCTCGAGAATATTTTGCCACCTTTGAAGAACTTTCATTACTGACAGTAAACGATAACTTGTCCCTTGCTCTTTCATTTCTACGACCCACACCTTTTGCATTTGCAGCTGGAGTGAGATTTCCACATCTCCACTGTGGGAAATATATGTGGGAAAGCATCTCCCCTTTCCTGAAAGTCTCAAATATAATCTGAGGTTTGCTCCACTTTGCTCTGAATTCCCCCACCACAGGAGAAAAAAAACCTCCTCCGCATCTACCCTATCAAAACCACTTTACCCTTCACACACCTTGGCTGTACCATTTCAAGGTCTTCATCCATTCAAACGTACAACTGCACTGCATACACCTTACAACAGTAGACACACATTATGTCTTGCCTGTTTGAAACACCTACTCCTCTTTTGCACTCTTCACTGAGTTTTGCGATTTCAACTATGCACGGCTACGAATTTTGAAAGCGAGCACACCTGTTTCAAGGTATCGCACCCCACATTATGACAACCCACTGATACTTTTGCTACTTTCATCTTTATCCTATGATGTTCACAGAGACTTAGCAGTTGCTGTACCAGTCGCCCTGTGCCTCCTGCAAAGAAATGAAAGAACCTGAAGAAAGGTGGCTGAAAAATAGAAACTCCTTGCAAGCCAAAGGAACATCTCAATGAATCTTGTCGACTGCACTTTTCTAATGTGTTTTGCTTCTTTATTTCTTACTGTACTCAAAAATAACTTCTGTTTCTCCTCGTCCATCTGTGCCTCTGAACACAGGACATGTTATAAAACGGGGTTAGACTTGTAACTGGTAAAGCTGTAAGTTGATAGTTTATTGTTCTTTACGTGTAATTAAAATGTACGTATTTCTGATAACTCCCACCAGCTTGAGAGGTGTGGCATCACATGTGAGCAGTTTCTGTCAACGTGATTCCATCACACAGGTCATTCAGGAAATCGACATGTTTAGATCGAATCCTTACCTTTTGCTGCGATCCCAAAGTAGTAGGGCTCAGTGATCACTTTCCCAAATATGTTGCGACACGTTGAAGGATAATACTTAAGGATAACAGCGTCTTCGCTGAACCAAAATCTCTCATCCCCTGTGTCACATCAGTACAAGTGCTCAGCACCTTCAAAGATCTTCACATCCTTTGTCAATGCCTAGTCGGCACTGATGTTAGTATAACCTCCAAGCACCGATATACACTTACACCGTGACAAAAAGCACTCAGGATGCCACATTTTCTCAACACCTTCATCGACCGATTCTACCGACTTCACACACTGCTCTACGTGAGACCCCAGATTCTCCTTAAGGTTTTGGAGTAGATTTGTAGCTCGGGTTGTGGGTGTTGAGGTTGGTTGGCTCGCCGAGCTGGTTTGTTGTTCCGCAGACGTTTCGTTGCCGTGCTTGGTAACATCCTCACATACATTTCACTACGGAGGAAACCCGGAAGTGAGGCAATCCATCGCAACGGACCCCAGAGTTTAAAAGCCAGGCGGGAAAACACACCGACGCTTCATCAGAGGCTGCACTGAGGATGTTACTAAGCACGGTAATGAAACGTCTGCGGAACAACAAACCAGCTCGGCGAGCCAACCAACCTCAACAAACAGATTCTCCTTGACATCACCCCACTTTGTGAACGTTATCCTACTACCTTCATTCCAACATACAGCACTTCAAAATACAGTGTCGAATTTCTCCTACCACGTGCCACTTTGTTAGTTTTGCCCCTATTCTTCTCAATTCTGTGACTGTTCTCCTCATCCTTTGTTACATGTTCATATTTGGTCACCACCAGGTTCATTGACGTAAGCTACACTATGCTCTGGTCTCGACATGGTCTTCCTCAGAGGATAGTAGGGGACAACATACCTCATTCCAGGTACACCTTGTCAAGTTCTGAAAGAAACTGGACGCATAAAATTAACCAGATGGTCAGTACGCATGAGGAAATACATACTTTCTGGTTTGAAAAGATAGACAGACACAGTTGCCAATTTCACAAAGTGTTGTGAGTGAAAACGTTCATAAAAGAATGACCACCGCACTCTAATAAACATAACAATGTTTCTGGTTATTTTGAACATTTCATTTTGGAGCAGATCCATGTTATTTAGGAGGGTCCCGGCTGATGGTTGCTATAGCAATGACAGCCTGAGCTGCTGGCACCAGCTGTGGGGTTACATTTCATGCACGAAACTAGGAGGCAGCCCGATGGAATTAAAGCAACTGTGGGCTTATCACCCACATGCAGCATTTGAATTCAGTTGTACTCAGGGACGACGCTCAAAGGCAGCCACCTGCTCGCCGATCTCTCTCTCTTGTCGGTTCGTTTACGTTATGGTCAACCTTTCTTCCTCGGTCTCACCCTGCGCGAGTTCCCTCACGTTAATGTCTCCCCCCAGGCTTACCTGAACAATCCGATCGCCCTCTCTGATACGCCCATCTTTGGCCGCAATGCTGTTCGGGTCGACCTGGAGAAATCATGGGAACGATTAAGATTAGGCAAACGAGCAGACAAACCATTAAAGGCAGCCGTCTACAGCAAGCAAACGCAGGCGAATACAGTTAATCTGCAGGTCACATTGGAGCTCATTTGACGGCAGACCAGGTTCAGGGGGACTAAAGGATGAATTCCTGTGCTGACAGTCAAAGATTCCATACATCTTGATCCTATACAGTTCGATCTAGCATCTCTCAGTTGTAATCTCAGTCCCTTCAGAATCTATACTGTGAATGTGGGAACCCCAAATTCAAATGCCTTAAATCAGGCAGGTAAAGGAATGTCCAAAGCGCTCAACATGTCAATGGATTCTGATTTCACCGATGCATCGACTGACTCCAAGGAAGATTGCACGTGAAGCGGAAGTCAGTGGTATCAGAAAATACGGCAAGGTGTTCCAGCCCCTGAGGGGAACAGTAAATGCACCGTAAGAAGCTCTCAGCCAGTCACGCTGCAAAACGATTCCTAGACACTGCCTGGGCTGATGGCGCTTCTTCTCATGGGGGTTATTTAAGAGCTGCAAGCCAGAACTGTTTACCACATAACGGGACCCATACCAAAAGGATCCAGATCACCGAGTGGATCGATCGAGATCCGTTCAAGAAGGGAAGCAGCGTGGTCTGGGAGTAAACTTAAAACAGAACTTTCCACTGTTGCGAGAGCAAACCAAGTGAGAGACTCCGATGTGTTGCTTGGACACAGCTGAAGAGGTCACAGTGCTGGCAGGTCTTAGAGCATGGCCTTAAAATGCCTAGTACCATCCGGATGACCAAAGTGTATAACAGATGGAGATGGAAAACAGAGGAGAGGATATGGGACAAAAGAGAAAATTGGCATGGACTTTTGACGGGCTACAGGCCCTCGTTGTGAACTGTACAGCACACAAACAGTCCCTTCGGCCCACAGTGTTGTGCTGAATATGACACCAAATTAAACTAATCCGTCTGCCTTCCCTTGGTCCGTTATGTCTCCATTCCTTGCATTTTCATGTGCTTATCTAAAAGTCCCTTAAATATCCCTATTGAATCTGCCTCCACCGCCACCCCCGGCAGTGCGTTTCAAACTCCTATCACTCTCTGTGTTAAAAAAAACTTGCCTCTCACATCCCCTTTGAACTTCCCCCCCCTCACCTTAAATGCATGCCCACTAGTTTTAAACAATTCAACTCGGGATTGATAGTCAGAATCTGCTTCCCAATCATCATTTTAGAGACTTCTATCAAGTCTCCCCTCAGCCTCTGCTGCTCCAGAGAAAACAACCTGAGATTTTCTGGCCTCTCCTTGTAGCTCATATCCTCTGATCCAGGCAGCATCCTGATAAACCTCTTCCGCACCCTCTCCAAAGCCTTCACATCCTTCCTGTAATGTGGCAGCCAGAACTGAAAGCAATACTCTAAGTGTGGCCTAACCAAAAACTCATAAAGCTGCAACATTACTCTTGTACTCAATTCCCTTATCAATAAAGGCAAGCATGCCAAATGCCTTCTTCACCACCCTATCTACTTGTGTGACCACTTTCAGGGAGCTATGGAATTACAGCCCGAGATCCCTCTGTACTTCAATGCTGTTCAGGGTCCTGCCATTAACTGCATACTTTTCCTTAACATTTAATCTCCCAAAGTGCAGCATCTCACATGTACCCGGATTAAACTCCATCTGCTATTTCTCTGCCCGTATCTGTAACTGATCAATATCCTGCTGTATCCTTTGACAACCTTCTACAATATCAACAACTCCACTGATCATTTTGTCATCTGCAAACTTAGTGATCCACCCATCTATACTTTCAGCGAAATCATTTATATATATATCACAAACAGCAGACATCTCAGTAAAGAACTCTATGGAACACTGCTAATCACAGATCTCCGGCTAGAAAAACACCCGTCCACCACAACCCTCTGCCTTCTTTGGGCGAGCCAATTCTGAATCCACATGGCCAATTCACCATGGACCCTGTGCATCTTAAGCTTCTTGATGAGCCTATGATGATGGACCTTTTTGAAAGCCTCACTAAAACCGATGTAGGCAACATCTACTGCCCAACCCTCATCAATCAGCTTTGTCAACTCCTTGAAAAATTCACTCCACTTACTAAGATGTGACCTGCCCTGTGCAAAGCCATACCGACTGTCCCTAATTAGGCCATGCTTTTCCAAATGTGTGTAAATTCTTTTCCTGAGAATTCTCTCCAACAGCTTCCCGACCATCCATGTGAGACTCACTGGTCTGTAGTTTCCTGCATTATTCCTGTTTCCCTTGAACAGAGGAACAATGTTAGTTACTTGACAGCCCTCCAGGACCTCTCCAGTGGCTAACCAGGATACAAAGGACTTTGTCAAGGCCCCAGCTTTCTCCCCTCTTGCCCCTCTCGATAGCCTGGATTATATACCATCAGGCCCTCGGGACTTACCTACCTTCATGCTCTTTGAGAGACCTGACACCACTTCTTTCTTGACCTCAAAATGTCCTAGTGTATTACCGTGTTCTGTACCAATCTTACTGTCCTCCGTGTCCTTCTCCTGGGTGAATCCAACACTAAGTACTCACTTAGGGTCTCGCCCCCGACCTCTGCCTCCAGTTGCCTCCTATATCCTTGAGTGGTCCTACGTTCTTCCGAGTTATCCTCTTGTTTTTAATGTATGTATAGTATGCCTCAGGATTCTCTTTAACTCTAATTTCCATAGTCATTTCATGGCCCCTTCCTCTCCTAATTCCCTGCTTGAGTACTTTCCTGCTTTCTTTATATTCCTCGCGGGCCCTGTTCAATTTTAGCTTCCAAAATGTTACGTTTACTTCCTTTTCCCTTTTGACTAAATTCGCAACCTTCTTCATTATCGAAGGGTGCCTTGCCTTGCTAATCTTGTCCTTCCTCCTGACTGGAACCTGCTGGTCCTGAGCTCTCCTCAGCAGGTCTTCAAATGATTCCCATGTGTCAAATGTGGACTTGCCTGATAACAGCTCCTCCCAATTAACACTCCCTAGCTCCTGCCTAATACTGACATAATTTGTCCTCCTGCCATTTAGTACCTTCCGGCTTGGTCCTGACTTATCCTTATTCATAACTATCTTAAAACATCAGGAGTTGCGATCACTGTTTCCAAAATGCTCTCTCACTAAAAGGTCAGTCACCTGGCTGGGCTCATTATCCAATACAAGGTCGAGTATAGTAATGTTGCTAATAATTCCATTTCACTTTGAATTTCAGCCCCTTTGAAATAATATTTTCTTACATCTTGTGGGTGTATTGTATGCACGATTTTAGATATGGGCTGGACTTCATCATGATACAAATCAAAGACTGGCAAAATCTCAACTGTAATCAGCACCCTTCGTCACCATCTCTTGACTGGGTGTCATCTTGTCTAACTTTTCTTTGGACATGTGCACGATTATTTCGACGGTAAACATTGGTGTGTACATTGGGAGACCTTGCTTTGCAATCTACAGCTTCTGTAGCTCATCAAGTGTCACTTATTGGTGCAATGCTCAGCTCCAGACTTCCCAGTGGACAGTGATATCCAAAAGATGAGACACTCATAGAGAAGTTTGTATTTTGCACTAGGATAGATGAATGATGGCCTGACCCCTGTTTTAACTGTCAAAGATAGGTACAGTATGGACAAAACTCCAAACGTCTAATTGTAACTCCTGACTAAATTGACAGGATGTAATGCTGATCCCAGGGATCGGGATCAATGACATGTCTGCTCTTCAAAAGGACTGAACCTTAAATTGCAGCATTTCCCCATTTACCACTATTTACTTACAGTTTGGTCAACGCTGACCAGGGACAGAAAGTTATCCAGTTCTTCCACCACTGTTCCATGCACAATATCACCGGGCAAAAATTCAATACGGGTTAGTGGAGAACTACATGTTTTATACAGGTTTCTCTCTGTCAAATGCATTCACGATAAGCAACTAATGAGGAATTTGATGAAAGGGTCCGAGCATTTATGTGATCGAATGAAGCTGTGGCAATCATGCTTCATGGTTGCTCTCGTCTGATACTAGTTCTTGTTATTGCATGTTGCACAGCTTTGGATACAGATTATCCTTGATCAAAGTCACCATGGTGCAGAGATGAGTGATGAACCTGCCACCGAGGGGCACTCCTATCTATCACCCTTGGAGCAATTGCTATCTTCGCCCGTTCGTTTCTCTCGCCTGCCTTTCGGATTTGTTTCAACAGGCTAGGTCTCTGCAATGTTCTGTTTTAGTTTGCCAGGGTTAGCTCTCCAGTTGTATTCAAGTGCCCTACCCCTTGTGTCCTTCCATTCCCAAGCTCCCTACTTTCATTCCATTTTAGATGCCTCAGTCACTCCACAAAATCATACCAATCTTGGCACGGGTGTCAGACTGCAGGCTTCGAAACAAGCCCAACTGAAGAGTTTTCACTTCAACTGTCCAGTGCTGTCAGATTTGAGATGAAGGAACGAGTTGCTGACACTTCCAGTGCAGCAGGCACAGCTGGCATAGTTTCAACTGCACATCTCAACAGTTTCTTGTCAACTGAGAAACCAAACCTCCCGACAATGTGTCTGCATTGAGAATGGCCGAGAGTGCATGACAGACAGAGGGAGAAAAATCCCCAACCGTTATGGCCCACCTCAGTGTATACCCTGCACCTATTACTGCTGGACTCAGCAGTGTGCCTTTCCGCTTATGCTGATTATAACATTTTCTCGATGGACGCAATGCCCACATTCCTCCCCACACCCCTGCGAGCAATCTTTCAATTAGGCAGCTAAAGCCCTGACTGATGAAAGCTTTGCTGGAAAAAGACAGCATCTGTGGGAAGTACCACGCGATTTTTGTCGTTTAATTTTCCTTCGCTCTGACAATGTTCAGTAATTAAGATCGACCATTAAAAGATTTGCTTAAAATAAACAGGCTGTAATAATCATATTATCTGGGCGATGCGATTTACCACAGCAATTAGAAGTGACAAGGCTTGGCGCACTGCCAACCCTCTAAAGTCAGCTCCATGTTAAGCTGGTGCTTCCTTCCACAGGAGCTTACCTCGCTCACATAGATGCCACTGTCATCCTCGTCGTCGTCTGTTCTGTAACAGACAGTCAGGCCCAGCTTCTCCTGGCTGCTGATGCGGCGCAGCTCAACCTCCTGAAAGAACACACACAGCACCGGCCGTTAGTTTGTTTCTCTAACCCCCACGGTCTTACCTTGTGCCCTGACCCGCTTTGCCCGTTTCCAACGCACCGAAAATTTCACTCTCCTGAGACACCTCCCTCCCATTCAGCTGGCCTGACCAGCTCGAAAACCATTCATGTGTGCTGGTCATTTTCCCACAAAATCCTGTCCTCTGGTACTTGATGCTTGCAACGACTGGCACTAACTGGTTCCAATCAAGTCCTTTTGAGACAGTGACTGGCAAAATATTTGTCCCGCTCGAAGTGGGAGCCCTGATTTCACACACAACCGGCTCTGGAAACAGTTACACCCCATCTAGTCATCTCAGAATGCGGAGGATTGTCCACCCCACGTTGAAGTTTCCCCTGTAGGCTGCTAGATGTAAAGTAAACAGAACATTTGCAATGTTCAGTAAAAGCAATCAAATTACACCACTGAATATGAGGATGCCAGACAGGGAGAAAGCAGCTTGGACCACATCCACAAGATGAGGGAGCAGCTTCACCCCAAAGTCCAGTATCTCCTCCAAGACAATCAGTATTGGGAAGTCCTTTGTGATATTTCCAAGAGTGCCAATCGCAAATGGAGCTTGTCATTGAGCCATGACAGCAATCGGCCAACCGTCACCTTCTGGGACATTCAGACTGCTCTGGGATTGCAGCTAGGTTCTCCAGCTCAGGAAACAACTGGGAGAAAACAGACAAAAAAAAAATGTTCCTGGCATATTTTCTCTGACTTTGTTTACTGGCAGGCACAGAGCTGCACCCCCTTTGCCATGACAATGAGTGTTGGCACACTGACCCATCAATGAAAACCGCAGCATCCAGACTTAACGCTGCCTTTACCTTCAGGAGGGGTCGCTGCCTGTTATGGACAGGAATCCTGACTTATTACAGCTTGCTTGACCAGTTTAACTTCATCGCTACTTCCAGTACATTCCATGCCCAAAAGTGCATTCTGGGGAAACCATCAGCAGATGCTACCAACACTGGCCAATGCAATTGTTTCCAGTACTCCAGCACCTTGTTCAACAATGTACAGGTGAAGCTCTGTATGGCAATGTTTCACTTTGGTAAAAAGTGGAGGGGAGGGAGGGGGGTACAGTAAAGAGTCAAGGAAAGCTGGATCAAAGAGTGAAGTAATGGACACAGTGACAGTCTCCGAAACTCAATCGAAAATTTCCTTTCGACATTCCTAATGGCATACACTGACCAACCCTCTAACATGGAATCCACCTTGGTTACAGAAAATGTGAATTGGAAAAGTATTATCATGCACAAACCTGGATTTTTTTCTTTTCAAAAAAAAAAGCATGGAATCTCCTTTTACACGTCTGTGATGTGCAGAACCATTGCTTGATAGCCAAACTTTAGGGAGTTACTCCTCCTCACTTCTCAGCAAATAAATTTGGCCAAGTGAATGACAACATTCCCACCAAGTCTCAATCCCTCTGCTGGATATAGAACGTAAACACAAGACATATGTCTTCAATGATAACCCCAGGTGATTGGCAGAGACCAGGAAAGCTGGGAGCTGAGCTGAGCCCTAGCGCAACAAACGTGTGTGAGACTACTAATCGCTCCTGCCAGCATATACGCGATTATAGTCCAGGTCTTTGGCTATGTCTACAATAAACAGGAACTCACTGCAGTAATGGAGATTTTGTGAGCAATGGAATACACGATCCTTTTTGGTCTGCGCTCTCTCAATTCAAAACACTGCTTTTTTAATATTAACAATGGTAAATGATCAGAGAATGAAAAAGGAACTGGAACATAAACTACATCGCGGTGGAAGTTTGTCTAAACTATTTTGGAGTTTTGTATCTGAGCCACTCTGCCACCTTGTGACCACTCACATGCAGGTTACATTTCAACAAAATTGACCTTGAGGATAGTGGGACAGGAAGACACCATTCAGCTGCTAGAGCCTGCTGCACCTTTCAATCAGGATTGAACTCAACTTCAACCTCACATAAATCTCTTTTACTAACCATGTTTATGATGTCGGGTGTTCTTTCAGTACCATTTGCTTTCATTCAGAGTAACAAGTGTGTCACAGCAGGCTAGTTCGTCACAAGACTATCACAGCCAAGCTGCATCTGATACTAGGCTGACACAGCTCCCCCAAAGTTGTCTTCGGAAGCAGAAATACTAAGTTTCACTTAACCTGCTGCCTTGAAATCCCAGGAATGGACTGAATGCAAAATGTCTAACATTACCTCTCAAAACCCACATCACAGGACTGGTGTCCCAGTACTATCTTTCACATCGTTTAATGTGGAATACCTCACAGAAACTATTGTCGCTTGACGCAGCGACTCAGGAATTTACAAGAAAACCAAACAGAAAATGTGCATCAAATTCATGCACAGAATCATACAATGGTTACAGCACAGGAGGAGGCCATTTGGCCCACTGGATCTGTCCTAGCTCTTTATGGGTGACTCAGTCAGCCTGACCCTGCTTCCACCTTTTCCATTGTGCCCTCCAAGTGTTCTCTCTTCAGGCGCGTATGAAATTGTTTTTGGAAAGCCATGATTGAATCTACCTCCACCACATTCTCCGGATGTGCATTCCAGATCTTAACCACTCTTTGTGAGTAAAGGTTTCTGTTTTCAAAAAAAAAATAGAACCTCTCCTTGTCCTGGTAAGTTTATCATCCCTCCGTCTCCTCCACAGACACAGATGGTGGAATTTTGGCTCTTAATTCAAACCAAGCACACATTTTATTGCAAAGTGTGGTGCTTAGCCAGGGCCTCAGTTCCCAGTCTGTACTGAGATAGTTCACCTTGGCCTAAATGGGAATGGAGGTTTGAGTGAGAAAAGGAGGGGTGGGTGAGTTCGCTGCTAGGACAGGGGTATCTGCAGAAGATGTTACAAGTGCTCTCAAGAGTTGCTCCTCTGCAAGGAAATGATGATTCCCAGTTGTTAATCCAGTGACCTCTGCTGGATAAAAATGCTTGGAGTCAGTGAAAGAATATTCCAGATGTGTTTTCTGCTACTTGCTGCAATCAATAGTTCCCTCGTCTCCTTGTGCAACCATGGTGAATCATCACAAACAGTTCATTTTAAGATGGTAGCCTGGACCCTAACTTTTTCTTATTTTAAAGGTATAAGTGAAGTACCGTGTTCCAGATGCGATCAAACTACTCATCATTAAGCAAAACACAATTTATTTAAACACTTTCGGTAAAATATAAATAAAAGAAACAGGAATTTAGAATAATTTAACAACTGGAAAGTTTAACCGAAGAACAGATATCTTAGAATTCCTACAGTTCCTACCATTTGGGACAACTAGTCCACACCCATCCTTCGAAGAACATCCTACCCAGACCCTCACCCCTACCCTGTAACCCTGCATTTCCAATGCTGACAGATCTAAGCTACACATCCCTGAACACTATGAGGATTTTAGCATGGCCAATCCACCTAACCTCCACATCTTTGGACTGTGGAAGGAAACAAAGGCACCCAGCAGAAACCCAGACATGGGCAGAACGTGCAAACTCCACACAGATATTTGCTCGAGGATGGAATCAAACCCAGGGTCCCTGGCACTGTGATGCAGCAGTGCTAACCACTGAGCCACTGTGCCACCCTACTAATCAACTGTTCCAGTACAGTAACAACCTATAAACACACCCCTTGGCAAAAAGACAAGTTCAGACACAGACTCTCATGTCCAGTTTTCCAATCCATGAGGAAAGAGAACATCAAAAGAAAATTTAAAGAGTGTTGCAGACAGGAGACATTCACCGAAGCTTCCAACTCTTTTCAGACCCCAACAGCTTCTGACGTTACTGAAAAAAACACCCAGAAAGCCGGTTCTGAGAGAGCTGGCCACACCCATTTGGTTTGTTTAAAAAAAACCCCAAAGCCTCACAAGGTGTCTCCACAACTTGTCTTCAGAAGCCAGTTCAGAACCTCTGCCTTACAATGTCTTCAAAAAGAAAAGGACAAAGTAACCCAGTGTCACAATAGACACCAAACTTTTCATGTCCAAATGGCCCCTTCTTCAGATATTAAGATCAGTTACGTGCTTGCTATGTTTGAACATGGGCATTAACTAAGCGTATGATCAGATTCAGGCATTGATGCTGCTTTGGGTGGATCGCCTAAAGAAATTTCTGGAAAACCTCAGCAGGTCTGGCGGCGTCTGGGGAAAGAAAGCAGAGTTAACGTTTCGAGTCCAGTGACCTTTCTTCAGACCCGTTCCAAATCAGCAATTTCTGATTCTGAGTCTGACTTCCAGCATCAGAACTTCTTAGCCTAAACATACATACTGCTAGCTAGCCCAAGAGAAAAGTTAACAAGCTGGCATTTATAAAGCCTCTTTCAGTTCCTAAAGGAGCCCAAAGCATTTTACAGATAACTGAATACTTTATGGCTTTCACCACTAGTGCAATGTAGATTAATAACAATACCTTCTTATGTAGGTATCATGATTTTGTGGAACTATATGGACTCTGAACACATCTAAGTCTAATCGGAATGGGAAAAATCTGCTACAATTTAAATTTTTGTTTTGTAAACTATTTTCCGAAACTACGTGACTCTTTCTTCCTTGGTTTCGATGGTGCTTCTTTTTAGGTAAATCTCTCAGATATATTTTTAGCTTGAATCATCTAAGAGGGTGTACCTAACGTGTGAGCCACAACTGTATAACAGTATCCAGACATTCTCTGACCCGTGGCTGACTGCTCAAGAGGATGAGGATTTTGGGCAGTTCTTTTTGTCACATGAGCTGCCCCACATCACATTACTTTGGCCCTTCAGCCAATGATAGATGCATCTAGAATTGTAATTAAAATTGGGCTTTCCCTTTCTATTAGACAGGGTGTGATACATCAGAAAACTTATCTGGAAATCACCAAGTCGTCACAATCCAGAATCCGTCCACGGAGCAAGAAAAGAATTTGAATATAAATCAACCGTAAACAGCCGTATTCATTTAATTTGAGTGTTGCA